GAAATGCCAAATATGTATCGACTTAATAAAAGAATATCAGATTTGAATGCCAAATGGAGGCTTACAGACACACCAGGAGAGGTAGAGGGTGTTCAGATTTTATTTAAGGAAAGTTGACGGAACAAACCAAGAGGCTCAAAAACAAGGGGATGCTCAAAAATTAAAATACAATCAAGGTGAAGTTGAGTGGTGATGGAACAGAACCAGTATTGACAAAAGATTTAATAAATAGTTAATTTTACTTACACTTTGCTCAATGAGAAGGATTTGGCAAGGAGTGACTATTTATTGGCTGAAATGAAAGCCACGGAAACCTATGACAATCTTGCAAAACGTCCAAGTCACTTAAAAGCAGAAATGGAAAACTTTCATGAAATTGATGTTAAAAGACAAAAGTGAATACTTCCTAGGAGGTGATTGRAAATTCTTAGCATGTGTCTGTGGATTAGGCACAGCAAACCAAGATTATGCAGGCATTYATTGCAAGTGCCCCAGAGCATCTAGATGTAATGTAACCAAAACCTGGTCCTTAACGGACAAAACGTTTGGAGCAAGGACATATGAGTTAATTGTAAATCGAAACCCCTCTATGCACGCTCTTTACTGCCATGACCCTGAATTGTTGAAGCTATACAAAACATATTGCACACTTTATCAACAAGGGATAGAAAAATATAACGATACGGCATCTAAAGATCATTTCAGACCATCCAACCACTGAGGGTATCTGCTTTGAGACAACTCTTCTGGAAAAAACAAAGAGGCCAACACCTTGAGGCAGCAGGTTACCAGCGAGAAAAAATTCTTTGACTTGTTCAAACTGTCTGGAACAAGGTCACAATATCAAGTCATGCACCAAAAAATGCCAAAGGTGTGCACTTGAAGTTTTCTGTGGTAACCTTGATAGAGTCAATAATAAGTGGGTGCCAAGCTRCACTTTGTGAGTTTCAAATGTATATTGCAGCTTATGAAGAGTTTGGACAACTATAACTGCCTGTAAAAAACATCAACATCATAAAGACTTTTGTTTTTTGTTTTCGCTTCATTCCTGGTTAACGACTACATTCCTCAATGAAACGTTTTGGTGGACGAGAAACGCGTTTAACACGGTCCGCCATATTATTTCCGGTTATTAGGGAGCAGGCACACCAGAACTGAATTGGTGTTATGGTCACCAATATCAAATGTCATGTCAATGTATGGAATGATTTTCATATGCAACTTTATTGTCATTTAACTTAAGAATACGGCCGCACACTAATTCATGCATGTTTTTTTAAAAAGAAATTATGGTGATATAAATAATATTATATTTTATTATATTTAGAAATAAAATTCTAACTTTAGTTATTAAACCAACTGCATTCATAGTTTTGCGGATATTTCGATGCATTTTTGGTTAATTTTACACACCAGTATATTCTTGCACTATTTTACACCTTTTGTAGGAATTAGTGTAATACTCCCTTTTCGAATTCTCGACGTCCATTTCGAAGACCGCTGAGCAATGCTTACAGTCGCAGTCAATTGACGTCGAAACGAGGCTAATACAGCGTAATGCTTATAGCAATACAAAATAACAGTGCGAAAACTTGAAGTCTATCTCTTAAAAACGATCGTCGATCGATTTTATCGTCAAAATAATACACAAAGACCTTCTTTATCTGGATTGATCAGTAGAAGAAGGC